TATACCTGTCATTAATTCATAGACTTAAAATGGCTAACCAATCAGAGTTAATAATATCATTTTTTAGTGTAATTTAGTACAAATAACAATTTACCAATTTTAGTATCATTATTTACAATATTTTGAACGTGATCACATTACAGTGCAGATGCATAGCAGCACCAGGGGTTAAATACTTTGCTCAAAGGCACTTCAGCCGCTGACAGACACAGTCGCGGCGTCTGCTGCCCTTTGATGTAGACTGCTTTTGAAAAGTAAAAGTGAAATCTCAAACTCTCAGCAGTATTTGTGAAAACAGCTGGTCTCATGCGGCAATATGTGCTGGAACGTTTGTTGCACTGAGTTGACCCAGTTATTTTGATGTACGTGTAAGCGTTCGAGTGTGCTTGTGTGTGCGTGTTGACACGGTAGACCGATTCATCAGTTTTTGTCACGTTAACAGATTGACCTCACACCTGGGAAACAATGTGTGAAATGATGGCTGTGTGCACTTGTTTTTGTGTGTCATAGTGTGTCTGTGTTTGCTATGACATTTGTGACCGAATGAAAACATCATTGTCGGTGTCTTAGCGATATTTCATTGTATCAAAATAGCTTTTTATAAGCGTCTGGGGCATCCATTTTGTTTGTGTTTTGTTTGGATGACATTGTTCCATATGTGTGAATATACAACGATAGGTGGATGCCGACCCAACTCTCTGGAGTGGGGCCTCAGGGGTTCTACTTCATTCCTCGGGTGCTCAATTAGATTGGGATAAAGTGTGTTTGGAAGCCAGGTCAACTCTTTGCGTCTAGTGCTTCGTGAGCAGTTTTTTCAGTGTTGTGGGACACACTGGTGCGTCACGTTTCTAACTAATATCCACAAGAAAGTCAGGACACAAGGTTTCCCAGCAAAATGTAGTAAAATAATAAATTCGTTTAACCTGTGAAGGTCTTTAATATTGTGCCTTTTGTGTTTGTGGATACATTGTAACACTTCTGCTTCCTTCACACAGAGAGTTGTCATAGTGAGAGAAGTTTCTGGGTAACAGACATCACACGTATTGCTTGAGTGTCAGACTGACTCAAGTCTGCTTTAAAAAACAAACAAACAAACAACAAAAAAAGCAGATAAACAAAAGTACCTGTGGAAGGAGCTTTACAGAGCATCAAAGGACAGAAAAAGGAGTATAGAGAAAGTGTGTTTATGTGTGAGTTTGTGTGAATAAGAAATGTAATCAGAGCCAGTTTGCTGTGGAAAGACCTGTTTAGAAACCCAGGCTAGATTAATTTTGCATGCACGCAGGCAGCGTACACACACAAACCGTCATTTAACTTCAGCAGTGAGACACACACCTCAGCTGTCAGGCAGGCCCACATCAAATTACCGTAACTTCAACAATATCAATACACACAGGCACACATAAACCATCACATTAACCATCATACTCTCAGACTTCCACAGTGCCGGAGTGGATTAGTTCCATTGAGTTGAAATGGATGAAATGTTTTGAGGCATCAGTCGTTTTCAGGCACCTCTATATGTGTATTTGTGTTATTCAAGATCAGAATTCAGATAAAATTAAGGTTATGGTAATCTTCAAGGAATTAAAGTCAGTGACAGTAAACGTCAGTGTCCTTTGTGTATGGGTTTGCCCTGCCATTACAATCTATTGTCTTCACATCATTTCACTGCCTTTAAAATCAAGTATTTGAGTTATAAAGTATGAATTTCCCTCATGAAAATTATATTTGTGAATTGGAATCTTAGGAGGTGAAATCGAGCAAACAAATCTTTCTAATGGTTCTGTTAGGCTGCTAGAGCTAGCTCTCACATTGGGACTGTACTTCAGTCAGCCAAGAGATAGCAAAGCCTTTCAATTTAGACTGTTAGGTCAAATTACACACCGAGCAGAAAGTGGGCAATCACTTTTAAAATAATTCTTTCTTTGCAGCTTCTTCAATCTGGGAAGCACTGCTGTGCCAGTACTGACTTTCAGTTTGTCCAGACACCATCACATTTGCCTCTTTCCTTCACATTACTGTTTCTTTTCTTCCTTTTTAGATAAAACATAGATATCATCTTCATATCTTGAGTCTGCATGAGTTTTCTTTTCCCCCACATTTGGGATGCGAATGTATGTGACCGGTCTTTAGCAGCATACATAAAAATGATTAGATGAAGCGACAACGTCAACTCTGGCCACTATAGTAAAGATGGAGGGGCAACATATTAATTTCCTCAAACTACTTTAAATTCATTGAAGAGAAGGCATCAACTTGTTGGAATACGTAATTAAACACTAATTGATGCATATTTATGAGTACAATATTGTTTTTTTTCTTCTAAATAACCTAAAGAAATGACTCACTGTATTTTTAAGCTCCTATATTTCTTCGTACTTTGATTCAGAACATTTTCATACATGCACAAGAACTCACGTTAGAAATGCACAGTCACATCTGCTTGATTCAGTATCTCTTCTTTCCCTTTTCTTGCCAGTATCCTAGTCACTTCAAACTCTCAGTCCACCTGATGGCAGTCAGCCAAATGGAGGAGGCCAACCCATAAAAGCTCCATCCTGCTCCATAAAGCACTGACTAAAACACACTTAAACAACGAGCCGACAGAGAAAATGTGTTTTACGTCTTAGTTCAGAACCCCAGGGTGTGGATACATTAAGACATTGATATACAGTTCTGGTGAATTAAAGAGCCTGAGGTTTTTGTTTTTTTTTTGCTCTATCAAGCATCTGGTGAATGTCACATAAAGCTAGTCAACTGTGTCCCAGCGTTTTAGTATTTAGAAATTAATTGTGTATTCAACAGAAATTAGCCTACAAAGTCATGTTGCAGCATGTTTCTGTCATTGCTACATTTACAGGATAAATCCATCAAGAAGATGTTTATTTGTGCAGCAAAAGTAATAGTGGTACGACAACTGGGTTGACCTTTTTTATGTGCTTAAACAAAATGAATAACCAAGTAATTCTCAGGGTTACAGCTGGTTTACTTTGTGGATATTTGTGCTACAGCCTAAATGCAGTGGTACACATAACAAGATGTTAATGACACCTTGAAAATTATTTGAATGGTATGGAGCAAAGCAACCAAAAGAACCAGTTATCAGAAGTGGCAGATAAAGTTTGAATTCCGCATACCCTGGAAAATGTTTTTCACACAGTATTGACTTAGGGCTGTTCGATATAACGATATATATCGGATGACGATATAAAAATGTCTATCGTTTCTTTTTACGCTATCGTTTGTTTCGTGGTGTCGCAAAATAAACTGTTTATGGCAATAT